TAGCACATAATTCTGAAAATATATATATATATATGTATGTGTATATATAATATATATGTTAATATATTATATATTATTTTGCGTTTGTAGTTTACAAAAGACTAGTTTAATTCATCCTAAACACTTTGGTAAATTTTGAATTTCTAACTAGATCTCAGTATCCTCCCCTCTTCTCTCATCTAAGCTTCTCCCTCTTTCTTGTTTTCTTTTCTTTTTTTTCTTTCTTATTTTTCATTTTTTTTTTTTTTTTTTTTTTTTTTTTTTTTTTTTTTTTTTTTTTTTTTTTTGGTCGTATTCACAGATAATTAATCATTATTAATTGCGCGCTTTTTTTGCGCTTTGCTTATGAAAAATTCTGTAAACGATTCACACTGGAATTCTTTTTTTTTTTTTCTTTTTTTCTTCTTTTTTTTTTTTTTTGGGTTCCTTTTTTAGATTTTCTCCCTTTTCTTTTTTCATATAAGAAAAAATGGCAAGTGAACGTGCGTGCGTTCATACGACGATTGGATGCATCTAATAATTATCATACAAATAATAATAATAATAATAATAGTAATAATAACAAAAAGTAGAAGAAGAAGTATAATAATAATAACAAGAATAAGAATGATGATGACAGTAATAATAGTTAATAATAATAATAATCATAATAATAATATTAATAATAATAATAATAATAATAATAATAATAATAATAATAATAATATAAGCATTCATGTAGAGATTGATCTTTGCTTGAGACTTAATTTGTTTGCACACGACATAAACATCGATGTATGCGCTTGCTTATGCAACAATGAACAATTCCAACACATGTGTACATCAAAGTGCATATTCTAATTAATTACAATGGTGGAATTTAATTACAATATATCTTGCGATTAAGGACCTTCGATACAATGCATGAAAATTTTGTATAGTTTTTTCCTCTTTCTCTCTCCTAACATCGTTTTAAAATTACATATATCTACATATATTGATTGATTATGAATAAAGAGTCAATTGAATATCTCCTTTGTTAGAAGCAATAAAAAAAGTTTCACGATTTTACATGTTAAATATTTTAAGCAAACGAAATAAAACACTCAACTTTTGATTAAACTTTAAACCTAATGAGGATTTTAGGTTTTCTTATGGAATATACTATACTTTTAATTAATTAGATATTTTAATTAATTATCTTTAACAAATTATTAAATAAATATAGATTTGAAGTTAATAATTAACGAGATATTAACGTCTGAAATATGTTACGTGGATACAAACAGTAACATTACACATAATAAATTGATCGTATATGTCACAATTTGATAGATTAGATCATTAGATCATTTAGATCACCTGATCTAACACCATTAGATTTTCTTATGTAGGGATTTATAAAAGATAAAGGAATATCAAACAAGAGTTAGAAATTAAAAAAGAATTACAAATAAAAATGATAAATGCCGTTAATCAAATAACAGCTGCAATATTAAAAAATGTATGAACAAAGGAATATGATTATATGATATTTGTATATGTATGATTATATTGACAATTGTTTATATAAGATAATGTTGAACACTTTGAACATTTATTGAATTAAGTAAACTATTATTTTATTCGTTATTATAAATTACTTTTAAACTATTTCTTTTTTTTTTCTTTTGAATTAATAGTCTTAATAAGATAGTAATTATATTTATTATAAGGTTGTTTTGTATATTTTTCATATTTTTCATAGCTTCTTAAGTTTCCTTACATATGAAATTATGTACCATTGATTATATAATTATGCATGTTAATATCTCGTTAATTATTAACTTCATGCCTCTACTTGTTTAATAGTTTTTAAAAGATAATCGAATAAAATATCTAATTAATTAGGAAAATACAGGATGTTTCATAAGAAAAGTAAAAATTATAAAACTTCTGATTTAATTGGAAATTCTATTTCGTACTCTTAAAATATTTGACACATGAATTTCTAAAACTTTTTTTGATAAATTTACTTTCTATTGCTTATAATAAATGAGATATTTAATTGGTCCTTAATTTATAATTAATCTGTACATGTATATATATATATTAAGCCATATATATTAAGTCATATATATATATATATATATATATATATATATATATATATAAATATATGATAAATTTACTAAGTATTATAAAAAGATTTTATCAAATGTAAAATATTTTAAGGCAACCATTACATAGGTTTGAGATTTAAAAATTCGGATGTTATAAGTGAGACCATGTATGACATAATATAATCGTTACAATATATAGAAGATTACTATTTTAGAACATTTTTTTAGACCAACGATCATCGAATCCACTTGTATTAAAAAATAAAGAAGATTTTCGAAAAGAATCTTAAAACATGAATTAATATGTAAATACGCTGATGTAACGAAGATCCCCTAGCTTTCGAAATCTAATGTGTACATTATGTATGTACGTATGAATGTATGTATATCGAAGACGGCATAAGTATATATATATATAT